ATTTTTTAAGTTTCCAATTCCTTGGTACATTCTGAAAAACCTCATGAACCATTCAATATGCTAAAAAAGAAACTGGCTCTGTTGCATATTAAATAAGTTAAAAAATAAACAGAATCATAATTATCTACATATTTTATTTTGTCAATAATCCATTGAATCAGTCCATTGCGTGTTTCTGTGTCCATTCTTTAGCAGTGTCATCATACTGTGAACGATTCTTAGTGAATGCTGCATACACTTCACCACCAACAGCCCAGTCTGGATCAGGGTCAACCAGTAATGATCTCACTGTACTTAGAACTACAATGTATGAGTATACAGTAAGTAATGGAGGCTGGTATCATTGGATAATGATTGTTGTACTTTTTGATATTTTTAAAGCTGGACTCCACCCATCATTGAGTATATCTAAACTAATCCAACCATCAGAATCAACGTTCACATGATATATCTTAGTAGTAAACCACACCTTTGAGAGAGGGAGAGGGAGGATGGGTGTACATACAGAATTCATGTAAATACTTTTGGTGGTTTAAATGGGTATTCTTCATGAATTTCCATTTTTAAATAGAAGAGACCATTCTCATAAGGTGTCCCTGTTCACAGAAAAAGATATATTTCATAATAATTATAATTCACATATATTGTACCTTCAGGTCCTAGTATTGTTGCTTTCCATGTTTCATCTAAGAGCAATACATCAATAAGTAGACATATCCTTCATGGCTTACAATTTTCTGAGACTGATTCAGCATGACAGCCAACAGGTGGTTCATTCTTTATCTGATCTTCCTCCTGCATGGGATGGAGAGGGGACAATGGACATCCTTAAACTAGTCACACATTTTCTCATACCTTCTTTAATCTTCTAATGACAGCTGGAATTTTGAAATGATCAGCCATTTTAATTGAACTGAGCTTTCTTTATGTAGTCCAACAATTTGATAGCATCAGCACACATAACACCATGAGTCAGCACATAAATAATATAAATGAATGTGATTATAACACCATGCACTGTCATCCAATTAATGATGCCAAAGAGCACATTTTGAATGAATTTTTATTTGCACACTAGATATATGTAGCATCCAAATTAAATACCGGTATGAATCTTCTTGGTGTTTTGAATCATATGCTGACAGTATAGACTGCTGACTGTGCACTGAAAGCACTGTGTGTGTGTACATTGTCATTTTGTAGCCATTGATGATACATACATAATATTTAGAAAATAATTATCACACAAGCAGCAAATAAAAAATAATATGACACATGCATCTAAACAATATGTTAAATAAAATGTTCATGCTCTGATTTGCATTCCTTAATTTTCTCCAACCTACAACACAATAAATGAATAATTAATACTACATAATGAAAACATTATACATACATGAAGAGATATTAATGATGATACATGAGGTTTACTAACCTTGCTTTCTCTGCCTCTTGTATTTCTGATCTCTCTTTATATGTTAACTCTTTCATTGTCTCTCTATTGTCTCTAAATAATTATAAACAGTAAGAGGTGTATGTAAGTGTGTGTGTATAGTGAGATTTATTTTAAATTTGGCAAGATTGTGAATTTCAGCAAATTGAAGCTTGCTATAATTATTACCAATTATTATAGGGCCCCATATGGTAAGAGAAATCGCCAAAATTAAACCTGCCAATCTACTAATTTAGGCAATTTTGCTAACATCACCAATAAATCCAGCTATAATAGTATAATATGTGTGTGCCGTGTTCATTAGTACTTGTAATATAGGACACGTCCATCATCATCATACAGTCTTAATGGGTATCTGCCTGATTTGATGGAATACCAGTCCAACTTATTCTCAATATCAAGACATGATATCTCAACTGGAAATGATATTCCCTAATAGAATCAGAGAGAGCATTAATACATACATGATTCAATGACTAACCTCTGAAAAATAGATATACTTAGCAGGAACTCCACTTAATTCTGACAGCTGCAAAGGAATAATAAAAATACATATACATACACACCCACTCAATGTCATTGAGTTTCATTTTTAATTAAAAAATTATAATTCCAAATGTAAAAATAATATTAAAAATTTTATTTAAAAAAATTTTGTGTATCATTCTCTATTTTATTTCTATGTGTATTTTACAAACAATACCTTTCCAATAACATGCTTAGGATTATATCTGTTATCACGACTCCTGCTATTATCCAGTATAA